CTATAATGGGCTATAGAAGTGGTATATAACAGCTATATTAAGGGTATATACCGAGGGGTCCTTACTTAGGGTCCCTCCTTTTACCCTTGGAGACAAGGGTTTAGGGCTTTGTGGTTGTATGCTTTGCCAGACTGTGCGAGTGTGCGTTGTTGGTGAGGTGACAGGGGTTAGTGTTGGCTCCTTTGGGTTTGGGTTTGTCAGGGCTAGAGTTTAGGGTTTAGGGTTTAGGGTTTAGGGGTTTAGGGTTTAGGGTTTAGGGTTTAGGGTTTAGGGGTTTAGGGTTTAGGGGTTTAGGGTTTAGGGTTTAGGGTTTAGGGGTTTAGGGTTTAGGGTTAGAACCGCACTGCAGGTTCATGATCACCAGACGGCTGTGGCATTGGATGGTGGTTGTATTTACGCTTCTAACCTCCTGAACCCTAGACCCTCACCCTAACAATCCTAACAAAAACCAGAAAACGGCCCTAAGCACCCTAAACCCTGAAAGGCCCTAAACCTTAACACCCCTGAACCCTAAAAGGTACTAAAGCTCAAAAGCCCTAAACCTTACAAGCCCTAAACCCTAAAAGGCCCTGGCCTGCTGAAGCTGCCTCTGATGCGCCGGCCCGAAGTACGCAAGCTCAGGGAAATGGCGAGCCAGCGTGGTCTGCACAAGGGAGGCTCTGCCGCTGCAGGGGTTTAGGATCCAGAAATCTAGGGTTTCGCGGGTGTGCTGATACAATTCGGGGTTCAGGCTGCATGAAAGACTGGAGGGTCTTACGGTTGAGGATTCAGGATCTTTGTTGAAGGGCTCAGGTGTTTAGTCTAAGGGTAGTAGTGGTCGTGGTAGAAGGGGTAGTGAGTAGTGGTAGTGGGATCAAGGAGTAGTTGGAGCAGGAGCAGCAGCAGCTGTTAGAGTTAATGCCTGAACTTTCAAACGTGAGGCTTACCACTCCTGAGTTGTCGCAATAGTCTTCTGCCCCGGGCCCCTACCCCGAAGTGCTCATCTAGGTCAGAGGCTTCTGCCTACATGAAGGGCCAGAGTGTCGGGAGTTCGGTGGTTTTTGGTTAGGAAGACTTAGACTCTAGGGTGCTGGGGGTTTACCACTATGGTATAATATCCCCCCTAAACCCTATTCTAGTTGTTAAGGCCCCCATATTAGGGGGTAAGGGGTCCCTCGTAGAAGTGGGGGCTCTTCTAGGATGCCCAGTAACCTAGGAATAATTAGGGCTCCCTTTTTGGTATTGGGTAACTTTACAAGGAACCCAAGACTACAAAAAGGGAATCAGGGTACTACTGGGCATCCGAGTCTTACGGCGACTGGCTGGTGGGCCTTGAATCTTCGCTCGCCAATCGATGGAAAGCCAAGTACTGACCCGGCGAGTTGCCGACCTGAGTATCACGGTTTAGGCTTTAGGGGTTAGGAATTTAAGTTCAGGCTTTAGGGGCTAGGAATTTAAGTTTGGGGTAAGTTTACGATTTAGGGTTTAAGGGTTAGGGTTTAGGCTTTAGGGGTTAGCGTTTCGAGTTTCGGGTGTAGGGTTTAAAGTTTTTTTTTTTAAATGCAATGCCCTTTTCCTTGCGTCCAAGGGTTTAAAGTTTAGGGTTTAGGGTTTGCAAGGGTTAGGGTTTAGGTTCAAAGTTTAGGGTGTAGAGATGCCGGTGACACCGGGGAATGGCCGTTCATGTAAGTGTGGTGGGTTTCAGGATGCAGGGGCGTGTACTCAAGCAACGAAGATATTCGCCCCGAAGTGCCTTCCGAGTTGGCATGATGCACTCGTATAGAATTCAGGTTGGCAGTTTGGCATGCGCCGCCTGACCACGAGGCGTAGTCTAGTTCCTCCTCTACATTGAAGTCTGTATCAATGACATTGTTTTCTGAATTTCTACACGCTATGAACCCTAAACTCGTGAACCCGAAACCTCTGAACCCAAACCCCGTGATCCCTTGCACTGTTGATCCAGGGATTCAAACCACCTAGAACGTGCAGTACAAGTACAATCCTGCAGCTATATTTTGACAGAAATTAGTCAACATGAAGGCCTTAGTGGTCAGAATTGTGCTTTCGGATGTGTGTGTGTGTGTGTGTGAGTGATTTTCTTTAGGTCCAAAGGCCTATAGGTGAATATCAATACCGAAAAACCTCAATCCCCTACCTGAACTTATAACCTTACTTACTAAGTCCCATGGTCCTCTAAGTAAGACTGCAATGCAACATTTGCAGATCCTATTATCAGCAGCTCCTTCTTCCTATTTTATCCGGATCTCCCTAAATCCCGGAACCCTAAACCCTGTTTCGGCTTCCTTCCATTTTTATTCGGATCTCCCTAAATCCCAAACCCGGAACCCTCGAAACTCCGACATCCTATTTCAGCATCCAATCGGGCTTCGGGTCCAAGGTATTTACCCAGAGGCTCCATAATTTCCTTTTTGGGATTACCTTATTGGATTCTACATATGAACCCCAAAAAGGAACTACTATGGAGCCTCTGGGTATATAGGTGTTAGTTACGTCTAGGGCTTTACACGGCCCTCCAGCGGGGTTTTGATATGGGTTTATAACGGGATTGTTAGAGATGCAACATACCTGATACTGATACTGAGGCATTTCGGAATTGGATGGTAGTCATGTGGGTTTGCTTTGAGAGACTACTACATGATCAGGTATCAAGACCCGTAAGACCCCGTGAGGCTATCTCCTACAACCAAAAAACATGGAGCATGGCCGAAGGCGCTGACCTTCAACCCTGAAGCCTTCGAACAAAAAATCTGAACTTCGACCTCTAGCAAAATAAATACTTTTGCTCTTTCTTCATCTATAAGGATTATCGGAACAAAAAAGGAAAAATGTTGCTAAGGAACCTTAAGTCAACCCCAAAGCCACAAAGCCTGCTTCGAATGAATGCCGCGCAGCTGTCCGGGTCGGATCCTACCTACAGTAGAAGCCAGAAAGTTGGAATATCATTATCGTAACCCCTTTAAGGTAAATTATAGGGGATCCTACCATTAATCCATATTCCAACTTTCTGGAGTTCCCTGTAAAGGCACTCTCATGGGGACCCAGACATGGAAGCCTGGGTGGAGACACATAGATGTATGTTAACATAGATACACACATCTATCAATCAGCCGATAGGTATATACATGTACATACATATATATATATATATATATATATGTATATATATATATATATACATATGTGTATATGTATATACATATATATATATATGTATGTATAGAGAGAGACCATATGTGTGTACAGCTTGTATGTATTAGACAGCTAGCTTCTAGCTCGGTAGTTAGGTAGGTAGGTAGGTGTGCACATAGGTAAGTAGGGAGGAGATCGATCGGTAGATAGAGAGGTAGATAGATGGATATCGATGGATAGGTGGTAGGCGGATAGGTATATAAGTAGATCGGCCGAAGAACAGAAAGTAAACTGCTGTGCTATGCACATACGCAGCTGTTCCTTTCTCTCGTGGTCTTGGCGTTCCCCGGTCACAGATCCCCATCAGAGACCTCTTTCTACCAAGCACATCCTGACAAAACAGGCGGTGCTGTCCCCAAAGCCTCCAAAACCCCTTCATTAAGGAATATACCCTAAATCATAATAGGATCCCTAATATAGTTTAAGGTATATTCCTTAATTAAAGGGGCTTTGGAGGCTCTGGGTCCTCCCTCCTTTCGGAGCGTCGCACCAGAAGGCTGACTGGCGCAGGCGCCCACCGGAGGCTGCAACCCAGGCGCGTTGGGAGTGGTGCTACTGGTATAATATAGGGGCCTTAATGATTAGAATAGGGTTTTGGTGCCCACTACATTACACTTATAATATGGAACTGCCCAAAATAGTATGGGTAAGTATTTAGGCACCTACATTATTAGGGCTACGGCTTTAGGACTTTGGGTTTTAGGGGTGTAGACCAGAGTTCAAGGCCTCAGGGCTTTTAGGAGTTCGGTGGCTTAAGGTCTAGGGCTTAACAGTGCCTTGTTTGGCAAACGCCCCTAAGCCGTTTAGGGTTTAGGGCTTAGACTTAGGGGTTAGGGCTTATAGGGCTTAGGGTTTGGGGTTTAGGGTCTAGGGTTTAGGGCTAGTTTGGGCATAAATTAAGCCTTCATTGACACATACACCCCAAGGAGCCACGGAACCTTTGCTTCCACAATCGCACCTTCTTCGTTTTAGGTTGTTGTATATAGGGCCGCAAACCCTAAAACAACAGCTCGTATGGTGTAACACGACTTTCTTATCGATGCTTAGTGCTGATGCCAGGTAAGCAGGCTCTTTACCTAAGCTTGCTCGAACGAATACCTGAAGGTCTAAGAGCATATTTTGTAGTTTGCATAATTCGAGCCGCAGTAAGTTTACAATACACACAAGTGAACCCTAAATCCTTCAACCCTACACCCTATTTTTAATATTCTCTTGGGTTTTATAGACCACAGGTCTTTGGACATCAAGGTCAACAACTGAGAGGCGTAGAAGCTCATGCAGGGGACTTACTACGTGAGCGTTTCCGAAAATCAGTACCGTATATTGGGGTCCTTTTTGTTAAGGATCCTGCTAAATAGGGTATTACATTAGGGTCCCCCATTTTCGGAAACTCCCAAGTAGGTTTCACGCAGGGTCATCTTTGGGATAACTTGTCCATCGAACTCAAACCCTCATCCCTAAACCATAAACTGGCCCTAATCCCCAACTCTAACTAAGCCCCAGACTCTGAACTCTAAACCCCTCAACTTATTAAGGCCACTCTATTATAGAACCCTACTATAGATCCCTTATAGACCCCTTTAAGGAACGAACCCTATTCTTACCCCTAATGCCCCTCCCCCAACTCTATGAACCCTAAACCCTAAACTCTAAGCCCTAAACCCTAAACTCTAAACCCTAAACTCTATACTCTAAACTCTAAATCCTAAACTCTAAACCCTAAACCCTAAACCCTAAGCCCCTGAACCCTCCTCTCTATCTTTGCAGCTCCCCGCGGAAACTCTCACACCTGGGCCGGGTCCCCTTAGGACTCAAAGGCCCTGCCAGAAGGACTCCTGCCAGGAGTTTTAGGCTTTTGAGGGTTTCGGCTTTTGAGGGTCTAAATTTTAGAAGGTTTAGGGTTTACAGGGCTTAGGAGCTAGAGGGTTTAGGGTGTAGGGTTTAGGGTTTAGAGGGTTTAGGGCGTAGACGAAGATCGCCTCTTGGGGATTTCAAGACAGTTCTGGGTTTGGTTGTTCTGGGTTTTGTTGATTAAGCTCGTTTATAGTGGCTTCAGGGTTTAAGGCGCTCGGGTTTAGCAATAGGGGCCGGATTTCCGGTTAAGACGCTTCCTTGATTTCTTCTGTGGTGCCCCACTCCGCCTTCCTTCTACCTAAACCCCCAAAAGCAGGTAAAAATAATGGCCCAAACCTATAAAGGCCATTGTTCTACATACTTTTGGGGTCCAGGTAGGACTTCGCGGCAGAGTATGTCTCGGATTCGCGCTTTGTGGTGTTGGATTTGGGACTTAGCGCTTCGGGCTCACGTCACTGCGAAGCTCCTCGCGGCAAACCAGTTTAGGATCCAGGTTCATAAGGGCTTAGGGCGCAGTGTGAAGCCATCGGGGGTCCTAGTCCTTCGGGGGTATCTTCGAAGAGAGATCTGAGAAACCCATCCGATCTACAGCTGACTTTGAACCCTCACACCTTAGATCCGACCATGAGATGATAGGATGAAAGCTACAATTTCAAAGTTTCCGGGTTGGGCCTTGGGGGGTTCTGGGGCATCGGGGCTTCAGGCGTCTTCAGGGTTCGGGGTTGAGTGCGTTTCTACGGCTTGCATGGGGTCTTGAGCTTCAGGCTCCTACTGGGCGTCTTCAAGCCCTGCGCAACATCCACCGGCTTCCCCAGAGTCATCGCAATAATAACCGAAGCTTCTGCTTCGTCATGAAGCTTTAGGGTTAGGGGGTTTAGGGTTTAGGGGTTTAGGGGTTTAGGGTTCAGGGCCTATGAGACATCGAAACCGCCACCCGAAATCTTCACTCTATTCAGCTACGTCCACGAGGAGGAGAGATCTGAGACTCGGGGTGGGGACACTTTTCGATGTAGACGGTTCTTGTTTGAAGCTTCGGGTTCAAGGATGTTCGTCTTTAAACATAGACCCTACTACTGCCCCCTCCTTGAAGAAGACATGAAAGCCCCGAAAGGGTACCCGCTCAGCCTTTCGAACGGACGCTGTTTGGGATTCCAAGTTAGGTCGAAGGAGGGAAAATCCAAATCCCCTCATGGCTTGAGTCGAGAAGTACACACACAACTTGAACCGTGAACACCAAATCTCAAAGAACGTCAACCCGTTTGAACAATCTGATTTTACCCCCGATCTTGGTGCGGTCCTGGACCACTGGGGTCTTCAAAATTCGTTCCAAAAATGCGGCATTGGTCCTTTGCCGGACGGCAGGGTGCGAGTCTTTGGCACAAGATCCCAAAGTCCTTGGTCCTAATATAATCAGAGACGTGAATCTGAAAAGCTAGAGCAGAGTTTCGGGGGTGCTGGAGTGCTACATTTCTATCAGGGAGGAGCAGCAAACAAGGACTACTAGTATCAGCTTCTGCATGGCACCATGTGCCCTTTGTCCTAAACCCCCGAACTCTGGCCCAATCATTTCAAATCTAACGTTCCCCGTGTCCCCTTGAGAACAAGATTGCCCGAGTTCACCAACTGTCTTTTTCAAAATCTGAACGGTGCCGCAATACCAAAGCCACAAACGAAGGGACCCATCCGAGAAAGACTACAGACGAAGTAGGGCTTTGCCACTACCTGTACTCCCCAAAATGACTCCAGGCATGTAGACATCTGGATGGTTGTCAGAATTAGAATCCCTTACTTACTATAATTACAGCACCTAATATTTAGGGTACCCAAAACGGGACCATCATTTTGACAACCGCCCCGAGGACCCTTCTTAGTTTCGGTTCATCCCTGGTCCCTTGCAGGACAAGCTGCTCTCAGGGATTATTTATTGTAGACACACACACACACCCACCCACCAGGCAGGACCCCAAAACCTTACATAACGTAGGGGCCTCAATAATTAGGCTAAGGTTCGTTTTAAAGGAGTCTATAGGGGGTTATTCTAAGGACTACTATAAGGGCTTAACATAGGGGCCTTAATAATTCGAGTAGGGTTCTGGGGTATATTGTATATATTATATTCTAACAAGGAACCCACCAAAATAGTACAGGTAATTATGAAGGCCCCTACATAGTAACCCGGATTGGTCCAAGTAGTGTCGAGGCCCAGAAAGATTTTCTTATTGCAGCGAGGTCGCTTCATGCCTTCCTAGGCTGCGGAGGGCTTTGGTTGTGGGCTAATCCAGGATGCCCAGTAACCTAGAAATAAAAAGAGCTCCCTTTTTGGTACTGGGCAACTTTATAGGGAACCCAGGCCTACAAAAAGGGAATAAGGGTACTACTGGGCATCCTCGTAATGGTGGGGCCTTACTAGCCGAAAGAGGTTCCTTGAAAGGTTCGAAAAGGGTCACTTTATGTTTTAGACTGGGGCTTGGCGCAAACACAGGAGGAACCTCAAGGAATCGTATGATGTTCGAAATGGCCAGACGTCCATATTACATGCTGAGGCGTTGATATAGCCTATACTTGTCGGGTATCATGGGGAACTAAGGGTTAACCTTTTTGGTTATATAGGGACTATACTACCCAAAAAAGGTTAAACGTTACTTACTCTACTAGGATAGCGGTTAAGGGGCTCTCTTGGCCTCGGAGTGTCTGTGCTAAGTTTCTGGGTTTAAAGACCCTCAGAGCAACAAAAAGGAGCTGGGGCTGAGATCTCGGCAAGGAAATTGTGGGGTTGTTAAGCAAGCAACAGTAGCTACATGACTTATAACTTGTAATCCTACTTGCCAAGTTTCCTGATCTGCTAAGAAAAGTAATATAGGGACTTTATTAGTTTGAATAGGGTTTTGGGGGCCCATTATACTACAACTATGATAAGGAACCCCAAAATAGTATAGGCAATTATGAACGCCCCTATCTATACACCCCCCTTAGAACCATAATTAAAAATATGTTTAATATTCTCTTGGGTTTTACATGGACAAAACTGAAAAATAATTGCTAAGGAGACTATAGCTATAGTACTAGCAGGGCATCGAACTTTGGAGGCTTCTTGCTGGTTTGCGGGGTTTAGGAAATCCTGTCGTCTCAGGGCTAGGCTTGACTTCGTCGGTGCCCCCGAGATAGACTCTACCACTAAGTCTGAAGCCCTCACCCAAAATCTATCTCTGAATCGTAAACACCGCAAAATATACCTTGACACAACAAAGGCAAGCATCTGAAAAACCAATTAATACTAAAGCAGGCCCAAAAACGCCAAGCCCTCCAAGCCTAACCCTAAGGAGGGGCTCCGACCAGCGACCCCTCACATGCTACACCCGTCTGCGGCATACTTCGAAACATCCACACACATAACGTCTTTAACCTTCGGGGCTTGAAGGGGAGTCTTATTGGCGTGGTTGGGACCTATACCGAGGCCATTATTCCTAAGATTTGTATGTGATGGGCCCTGTGCACCCTAAACTCTCCGAATCCCCTTCCCGAAACTGCTCATCCGCGGTGCCAGCGTTTGCTTGATCGTGCGCTGGTTCTGCTTGAGCGGATGCTCTTCATAGAACCTGGGCCGTTGCTTCATGTACGAAGGGGCCCAGCAAGTGGCTATGACTGCTGTGAATGCGGATGGCAATGATCCTTTATGCAGGGTAGCAATAGGTTTGGGAATACAAGGCTCGATGGGTTTTCGGCGAAGAGGGTTTGATTTGGGGTATGGCTTTAACTCTTGGGGTCTAGGCTTTCAGATTCAGGGTGGGCCCATAGTGCTGAGAGTTGGGGTCCAGGGTTTACAGCAGGGTTAGATCCAACAACCCTACACCCCGCGCCGAAGGGGTGAGCTCTCGCCTGCAGCATGAGATGGGGCGCATTGCATTGTAAGCCTTACATTGAAGGCTCAAAGAGCCAACCAGAACACCGCGGATGTGGTCATGAGACATGCATAGATTTCTGCTGGGTTTAGTTGCGGCGAGATTTTGCCATTAGCGCGAAATTGGTTGAAGGTGTCACCTGCTCCAGCGACTTCTCCTACCCGCATTTATGGCTAGCTTCTTTCGAGGGGGGGACGATGTCCGACAATCAGTCAGGGGGTTCCTATCAGACTTAGAGGAGGCGGGATTCAGTAGGTATGGGGTTTCAGAAGGGTTGTATAATGTGTAGCGGTCTTTTGGAATTTAGAGCAACAGCTAGTCGCAATCTCAACTTTAAGGTACTTATAACCTAACTTGCTGGGTGTTCCAGGCCTTGTCTCCGAGTCCGAGGCCACACCACACCCTTATGGGGTGATTGTCAAAATTGGGGTCCCTTTTTGGGTACCCTAAATAATAGGTGCCGTATTATAATAGGGACCCAAAAAGGGACTCTAATTTTGACAACCACCCTTATGGCACAGCTACCCTTCAGCAAAACCTGGAACAAAACCATCACAACTCCTAAACTCTGATATCCCAGCTTCAACCGGCCTAGCCCGGAATACAAACCCTGGTCTTACACGCCCCAGTGCAGATGCCTGAGGACTAAACCCCCCTCTTAGCTCTTTCAAGGCAGGGGAGGTCATTAATCAGGGATCCATAAGAAGACCCTACCTTCACAAATTACCCTAAACTACTATTTGCTTAAGAAACCCACAAAAAACAAAAATAATAATCCCTATATTACCCCCACAAGGAATATTTTTTGGGGGGGGTTCTTAAGCAAATAGTAATAAACATTAAACCCCAAAAACCAACAAAGCGCAACACCCGGGCACTTCTCCACTTCGGCAGCCGCTTCGGAGGTGCAGAAGCTCCGGGCCGATAAGGTGATCATGGCCTTAGCCAGAGGCTCCATAGTAGTTCCTGTTCGGGGTTCATATATAGAATCCTACAAGGTATAATCCCAAAAAGGAACTACTATGGAGCCTCTGGGTAGGGATCATGGCCTTAGGGACCCAAGTGTTTGGCGATCGCGATTCTACTGCAGGCGCTCTGCAAAAAGCCTACTACCCCAAAACCCTAAACCCTAAGCCCCAAACTTCAATAAAACCTAAATCTCTAGACAATACGGCTTCCATAAGGATCCTGATCGTGTTGAGGGGCTTGGGGTGTCTGCTTTACCGCTCGGGGTTCGGGATTCGGGACTTCAGAGTTGAGGCCGGGGGCTTATGGGGCTTACGGCTTGAGGTTCAAAGGGTTTGGGGTTGATTTAGGGTCTAGGTCTTAGGGCTCAAAAGGTTTAGGGCTTATTTAGGGCTTAGGTCTTAGGGTTCAAAGGGTTTAGAGTTGATTTAGGGTTTAAGCCTTTAGGGCTCAAAGGGTTTAGGGCCGAGGGCTCAGAGGGTTTAGGGTTTAATCAATCTCAGAAGTCTGGGACCCTATAAGTATAGAGCCCCTAGACGATTGGATCCTTGCTTTAAGCGCCCCTCGGATTGAACAAAAACCCTATACTCGGATTATTACAACTCAACAGAAATCCCTTTATACCTCTACGTAGTACCTACGTACTAAGTCCCGCGACCCTCCAGGTAAACACCCGAAGCCTCACGTCATGTCCTATTCAGGGCTTGGGGTCGTGGATGTGAGCTTGGACGACAAAGCTCCCACAGAGCTCAGAGCCAAGTTTGGGTTTGGGGCTTAGGTTCAGACAATGCGAAAAACCTAAAACCACGAAGACCCCATACTTCCAACAATAAGAGACTCGTTGCCTACTATCCGGCTACCTGCACCCTAAGCGCTAGACACCAAACTCTACAAGCCTGAATCCCAAAGCCGTGAATCCTGAATCCTACAGCTGAAATCCTACAGCCATAAAGCCTCGAATCGAATTGGGTCCCGCACGTCCATCAGCGAAGGGCTGGCCGTTTTGCACATACTCCTGGGTGCTGGTTTCCACGAGGAATGGTTATGGATGTTGGGCGATTAGGTCTTGGAGCTTGAAAAGTCGAACTCCTCCTGGGTATACGAAGCACTGCCCATTGCCGCGGCGAGGCTCAGATCTTGAAGACTTCCCTGTACAGGCCCATGGGTAACCAAAACCATCCAAAACCCAAAACTGTAATCAGCCCTTAACAACTCACTTATGATTGGGCTTGCTACATGACCAGATCCCCAAAGAAGGTCAAGTGCTCTCGCCATGATCCTTTTTCCTTTCTATTATAACTAAGGAAACCCGTAAATGAGTAATGCAATACAAGTCAGGAATGCCCGGCACGCACCATCGACACCCCCTAAGCCGTTATGTGATGACTGCACCTCAGGTTGTATTCAGGATCCGAAACGTGTTTTCGGCAGCGTCCTTAATCAGTTTGTGCTCTCTAACCTTCTTTGGCACAGGTCCTTCTTGAAACCCTCTGAAACCCCGCAATTTCTAGAGGCATCCCGGGAGGTTCTGCACGCTTCGAACCAGGTCTCCTCTTCCTTGTTTTAAGCTACTACTACTACAACTACTAACACTACTACTACTACTACTACTACTACTACTACTACTACTACTACTACTACTACTACTACTACTACTACTACTACTACTACTACTACTACTACGACTACTACTACGACCACTACCTCCCCCACAAGGAAACCAAAGCAACAACAAGCTAAGGCCCAGACCCCGAGCCGATACCGCAAATTCTAAAGTAGAATTAAACCAAAATCGCCCCCAAAGTAGTTCATTTTTGGGATTACCTTATAGGATTCCATGTTGATTTTTGGGATTACCTTATAGGATTCCATGTTGATTTTTGGGATTACCTTATAGGATTCTATATATGAACCCCCAAAAGGAACTACCGTGGGGTGTCTGGGTAAACAGATAACCAGAGATGCGAAGCACGTACACAGATGAACACCAGCGAACATAACCATAGCTGCCATGTGTCCAAATCTTGTCAAAGTTGGCCTGTCACACAACGCTGAGGGTCAAAGTCACGCAGGGTTTCGGGGGGAGGGGGTCCTTTTTGTGGCTGCAGGCTTCTCAGATCACAGCTTGGCTGATCCCTTAAGTATGACCCTATGGGTCTCTGTAGAACCTACAGTCCTTGGACCGGCCGTCAGAGCCCAGCCGACTTAGCCTACAACTTTCATGATCACGGGGACCCAGTAAGTAGGCCATAAATAGCTCGGGTTGTGAGTGCCCTATCTGGAGCTATCGAACTGCAGCCCTACTTGGAGCCCTGCGCATTTCGCAAAGTCCCCAGCGCCGTGAATCGACCTTGAAACCCCCAAAGGCTACTTGGAGGGTCCTGGGAATTGGTAAGTAAGATTATAAGTGCCTTAAACGGGGTTATAAGTAGTTATAAGTATGGCTACGCTACCTTCCGAGATACTAAGTCCCATGATCCTTGAAGTTTGAACCCCGAAGTCACGGACCAGAGGACCCGATTAGCCAGTGTGGAACCTTGGGCACCAGCTGGGAAAGGGCCCAGAAGGAGGCGGGCTCAACTCCATAGCTCGGATCCCTGCTCCAGCCGTTGAGCAGGGGAGGAGGGGGGGATGACCAAATAAGAGGATACCATTGGGGGGAAGGGGGCGGGGCCCGCCGGTGTAGAACCTTACATCTCTCTCTCGCTCTCTCCTTTTCTCTATATGCATATGTGCAAGACCCGCGGGCTGAGTAAGTGGGCTGTCATCGTGGTTTACGTGTCCGAGCGGGAGCTATCGCAATTCAACAACAACGTACTTGTAACCTAGTTACCAAAGTCCTGGCGCCGCCAAGTAACCCCCGAACCCTGGCCTACACCCTCAAACCCCAAAGATACCTTGCGGAAGGTAGGACCGTATACTATGGCATCCTAAACCCTAACACCCCTCAGAACCCTTAGCCCGAAATCCAAATCCAACGCAATGGAACCTGGACACGAAGCCGAAAACCCCCCCCAAAACCCTAAATACCCAAAACCCTGAACCCAAAACCCTAAGCCCCTAAACCCTGAGCCCCTAAACCCCCAAACCCTAGAACCCTAAACCCTAAGCCTCTGCACCCGAAAGTCCCCGAGCCGAAACTTGGGCCTTGTAGAACTCCCACGTCATCGCCGCTGCTTCCTTCGAGGAGGACGCCACGGAGCCGAGGGGGTAGAAGAAGTCCTGTGACGAGCGAGGAGGGTTTTTTTTTTTAAGGCGAGGAGGTTTAGGGTTTAGGGTTTAGGGAGCGAGGGTTTTAGGACTTAGGGTTTACGCGTTTAGGGGTTTAGGGTTTAGGAGTTTAGGGTTTCGGTTCCTGAGTAGCTGCGTTATAATTCGGGTACCCGTTTTCCCTACTACTCGGTTTTCATAAGGGGACCCAAAAACAACAAGGGCAAAGTGGTACTACTCAGGAACCTAGTGATAGTGGTGTGTGGGGTTATTTAGGGCACGAGTCTAGATGGAAGAAGGAAGACCGGGATCTTGATTTCGCCTAAACCTGAAAGCATAAACCAGGGAAATGGGTCCTGGATCTTGATGTCGCCGGACACCACCCATTCCAGCACATCCTGAAGGCTGTTGGGATATAAGGTTTGGGTTCAGGGTTTGGGGTTTAGTTTGGCGGTGTGGCTCATTGATTTAGGGTCGAGGGACAGCCCTAATTACTAGGATCCTGGATACAAGATCCCTGCTCAGAAACACCTATCAAAAAACATGCCAAAACTTGTAATCCCAGGAGCCTTGCCTGATGAGGTTCGGGATTTCTGTACCACAAGAAATCCTACACGTTTAGAGCTCATGACAACTCTGAGTGCTTTTGGTCCCAGGCTTGGTCCCATGCCATGCCATTCCCTGCCGGATCCAAAGCGAGAATCTAGAGGCCAATATTTATCATTCGATGCAGCCTGCCCTGCCAGAACCTATTAGCATGTGGGAATTCCGCACTAGGAACCAGATTATTAATGAAAACTGATAGTTACTTGACCAAACTGCTTGGTGAAGGAATGATTGTGCTTGACTGTGCTAAAAGATGTCTGCCATAGAGTCTGGTGTATTCATGCTGTTACCCGTGCAGTATTTTACAAACCTCATCTACGCCAGACCCGAAACAACCCAATACCGTATCCGAAAGGATTCTACCTCAGAGAGAAATAGAGGGTCTAGGGAGTCTAGGGTTTTAGGGTTTAGGGTTTAGGGTTTGAGCTCTCACGCCCGACCATCACTCTTCCCGATCCCGAAAGTGAAACCCGACTGCAGCAGGAAGGTTGCAATGGTGGGCCAGTTTCGTCTGGGTAAATCCAAGGGTTTAAAAGGAGGGACTCTACCCTTAGTAAGGACCCCCATTATAGGGTAGGGGTCCCTTTAAGTGTCCCTCCTTTGCCCCCATGAGTACAGGACCACCCGAGCTCGAAAACTGCTGCCCCCAACCCAGTACCTCGAAGTCGTGGTTGTCAAAATTATGACCCTAAACCCTAAACCCTAACCCCAAGCCCCTTATTTGGGTACCCTGAATAATAGGTGCCGTACTATAACAGGGACCCAAAAAAGGACCATAATTTTGACAACCGCCCACTCTAGTGACCTCAAACCAAACCGAGAAAGTCGAAGATCTGGTTTCTCGATCAGAAACGTAACTTAGGTTGGGATCACAAGGGATGCTATGTAGAAGAAGCTGTGTTGAATCCTCTGCCAACCTGGAACCGGATAATGCTATAAATTAAAGCCGATTTTTGTTTTGGCCCTTTAAGAAGGAACCCAGAAAGTCACGAAGCCTTCTTCAACGACATCTCGGCGGTTTGGCCAATGGTCACCTCATGTGCATGGTTTACAGTTGTCAGGGTTTAAATTCTCCCACGAGATGACGACAGAGAGGGTCATATAGGGCTCAGAGGTTCTCAGAGGGTTTAGGGTTTAGTCCCTGGTTTCCGGCGATTTAGGGCTTAGAGGGTCTAGGGCTCAAAGGCCCAGAGGACGCAGGGCTTAGGGCTCACAGGGTTTGGGGCTTAAGGACTCAGAGTGCTTAGGGTGTCGGGCTCGCGAGTTTCAGGGTTTAGGGCTCAAAGGGTTCCTGGCGTAGGGGGGTCTACCCAGAGGCTCCATAATAGTTCCTTTTTGGGATTACCTTGTTGGATTCTATATATGAACACCAAAAAGGAACTACTATGGAGCCTCTGGGTAGTGCTTACTTCCAGACTTGCAGGTTTCCGGGCCGAGGTTCAGCTTCTGGGGCGGAAGAAGATCACGTCTCAACTTCCTGGCAGCTACCCTAACGCAGACCTGAACTCTACACAACCTACCGATTTCGGGTGTGTTTATGAGTTCCTTATACAATCTCAGTAGAAAAAACGGTAATGGCAGTCTGTTTGGGGTCAGAAACTCCGAGGTGGGGCTTAAGCTTGGGCAGAAGCGTGAGTACATGCGACCCCAAACCCAGGCCGAAGCCCTTCTAGGCCGGCCATGAGACTCAGGGCTTTGTTTTCAGGGTTGAGGGTTTAGGGTTCTGGGTTTGGGGGTTCAGGGTTTCAGGGCTACCATGAATGCCTAAACCTTGTCGTCTCCAACCCTCCCTCAACAACCTCAAACCCAAACCATCGCACAGTTCCGTAGCCTGAAACCTCCCAGCTAACTCTGCGGTTTAGGATTTTGGGCTTCGTAGTGTGGGGATCCAGGGTTCATGGTTTAGGGGTTTACGGTTGAAGGCTCGGGTTGCAGTACTAATTTAGGACAGGGTTTCGGGTGCCATTCCCTAAGGGTCCATGTACTCATATAGCATACCTTAACCTACCAAACCCTACTTTTTTGTAGGCTCTTAATATAAACCCTAATATGAAATTTATCGGGACCCTACAAAAAAGTAGGTTTTGGTAGGTTAAGGTATACATTGTCCTTAATGTAGTCCCTATATAGGTACTTTGGGGCCCATGTATCTCTGTATGGGTACATGGACCCTTAGGCATTATACTGTAATTACAATAAGAAACCCCCCGCAATGTTAAAGGTAGTGATTTGATGAAGGCTTCTAGATTATGGTACATAGAAAAATCCTAGGGAACCCTATTCTATATATTACTCACTCTGGGTCGGCGACATAGACATGCTTCTTCTCGATGTTTGTCTCCGCCTTCGCCTGCACCTCCCGGAGCGCCTTGTACTCCTCTCGAGAGCACTATACTGAGCCTTACGGAGCCCCAACGAATTATACTTCTAAACTGTGTAACAGGGCCTTACGCGCATATCAGGATGTCGTAGGTGCTTATCGCATAAAATATGACTCATATGTCATATATCAAAAGTGGAACAAGGACAACACAAAACCAACCCAACGCCAGCATCGTAACCCCAATTCATCAGCCCCCCCATACAGTAGGCAACACAAAGCCAAAGATGAGCCAAAAACAACACTTCTCCACCTCACACTCCGAATAGCTTGGGGAAATATGCGCTTTGAAGAAATACTTAAAAGGCTGCAAACATCACAAGCAACAAACCTACAGCCTAAAAATTGAACTGCGGACCTTGAGCCCTAAACCCCGAAGCCCTTGGCCCAAAACCTTCCTTAAGCCCCAACCTGATAACCCGCCCTCAAAACGAACGTGAATAGAAATGTTGTCTTCAACGCAGCCCAGCCCCACCCAGCCCGCCCCAGCACCCCAAGCCCACCCAGCCCAGCCCAGCCGAGCCCAGCCCAGTGCAGCAAAGAAAACCCTTTCGGTCGCATACCCCCCAAACACCCAGCCAGCCCCACAGCCCCAGCATGGAAAGCTAGCCAACAAAACAACTGCTCAACATGTTCGCTCAAAACTCATCGGCGCCTGAACCCTTGCCCCTTAGCCCTAACACCCTAAACCCCCTAAACCCTAAACCCTAAGCCCTAACACCCTAAGCCCCTAAACAAAAAGCCCTGAGATCCTTCTGGCCGCCGGTTTTCAAGACCATCTTGAAGACTGGCCTTTGGCGTCTTGGGACAGGGCCCAAAAGGTCCCCATGTACGTATCTACATAAACTTGTAGGGTGTACAAAAATATAAAAAAGTACATATAATAACATACATGCTGCGTATGTGTATGTATGTATGTATGTATGTATGTATATATATATATATATACACACACACACACATTAAATACACGTATATACGAATCTTCCCGTTTTACCTATCTACCCTAAACCCTCCACCCTAAAGCCTATCTTGGTAGCTATCTACCTTGACTATCCTGCCTATCTTCTAGGCGGTTGTGGAGGCGGATGGGGCTGGAGCTTAGGTGGGTGGGTAGGGAGGTCGGTAGGAGGTAGGTAGGTACAGTAGATGGGTAGAGTACGTGGGTAGCTGGGTCGGCCGTTGAGCGGAAAGCCTGCTCGATAAAGGCCGCTCCTTCGAGATGGTGGCTAAGAAAAGATCCTTAGGCAATCCTTAGGCAAGAACACAATTGAGCCTCGGATTCAAATCCGAAGAACTCTCTGTGTTGAGAGCTTATGACAGGATTTGAATCCGGAGAAGTCTGCGCGTTGGTGTCAATGTCATCAACAAAAACATGGGTCGGATTCAAACCCGGACAAATCTCTGCAATGACGAACTGCAACTGTAACTTGTTCGAGCACTCGGAGTTGAAACTGGGCAGCGATCCGCGCTGATGAATTAAACCACCACGCAACACAGAGCGACTCTGGGCGTGCAACCCAACTCTCGGCAAGAGTTTTGTACGCTCGGATTCACACCAACGCAGAGTATTCTCCGGATTCAAACCCTGTGTTTCAAGCAGACACCTGAACAGTACCCCCCCACTTCGCCTTATAAGGCTTATAAGGGTCCTTTACATTGATTTTGCGAGTTTTCGAAAGAGGGTACAAGCATCCTGAGGTTACACCCAGGCCAGGGGCCCCAAAGTAGTTCCTTTTTGGAGTTACCCTATAGGATTCTATATATGAACCCCCCAAAAAAATACTTTGGGGCCTCAAGAAGCAGGAGCTGAGTAATCAAGTGTCTCCACTACTTGGAGGGTCGTTGGACTTAGTAACGGGTTATTTTAGGGACTTATAAGTACCATAACCCCAATTAGGGTCACTTTTAGGGTACTTAAAACTCTACTTACTACCTGCTTACTAAGTCCCCCGACCCTCCAAGTACTCAGTGTGCGGCTCTTTGATGTCGTCGGGCAGGAGCGAGGAATCACCTCACAACTCTTCGACTCCTACAGTACATCTTAAACCCAAACCTGAGCCATGAATCCAACCCTAAGCCCCATGCTAAACCCAACCCTACACCCTGAACCCTAAGCACTAAACCCCAAAACCAACCCAGCGCCAATTAAGCATGAACGGGTTGGGGCGACGGAGAGGCATTAGAGGCATACCTATAGATCCCCACGAGATCCCCCACATGCCCACCTACCCATCACTGTAGATGCGAAAAGCCCCCCCTCTCAGGAGCTCCCTGATTGAAGGCCCCAACCCCCCAAAATCTCAGGGTTCAGGGTTTAGGGTTTAGGGGTTTAGGGTTTAGGGTTTAGGGGTTTAGGGTTTAGGGTTCAGGGTTTATGATTCAGTAAATTTAGGGGCGGGTACGGAAATCGGGGTTGCTTCTAGGACTATGGGTTGCCGTTTGATTTCCGTGGCTCGGAGCCGCGGGAACACAGCTCTTGCGGTCGCCAACACGTAAGCATGCCGCTCTGTGCAGATTCTTGGCATCCATACAGGTAGGGTTGTTTTCAGGTTCGCTGTGTTGCTGTAGCTAACCACCAGCGTACGCAAAAAGTAACAAGGAAACTATCCCAGTCCTTGTTCTTCTTCCCTGAACCCCATACCCCAAAGCGCCAAATACTCGACAGCCCTGAACCACCGAACCTTTGACCATGGAGTGCCTGACCCCAACTCGTCCTAAAGGCTCTCTTTAAAACAACACAGATCAAGTTGGAACCTGTATGAAAGCTTCACGCTGTTTAGAACCCTTGTAGAACCATTGGAAACAAATCTTATAAGCCCTAGAAACCCCCAACAAAACACCCCTAAACCCTAAACTTAAACCTTAAACTCTAAACCCTAACCTTACACCCTGAACCCTAAACTTAAACCCTGAACCCCAAACTTAAACCTTAAACCCTAAACCCTAAACCGCCTGACCCTGCGAGCGAACCTGGTTAAAACATCTTAAGGTAAAAGCCAGAAAGTTGGAATATGATTATCCTAACCCTTCCATGGTAAATTATCGTGGATCCTACCATGAAACCATATTCCAACTTTCTGGAGTTCCCTGTAAAACCCTAAACCCCGAGGCCCTAAGACCGAACCAGTCCTGAACCTGAACGGAAGCCAACCCTAAACCCTACGGTAAACCCCATAAAGTTGGAAACCGGATTGAGGCCAACTGGTGCTGGGATCCTTTATACATTATATTAGGGTTTCCAACTTTTTGGCTTCTACTGTAAACCTTAGCCCCGAAACGCCTCATACGAAGACTCTTGTTTAGGCTAAACCCACCATTTAGGGGCCTTAACAATTCAAGAATATGGTTTCGGGGTATATACGAAATAAGGAAGCCCAAAAGCGGTACTGTATATATGGGTAATTTTTTAGGTTGCTATTCCTTCAGCCCACCCTGAAACCCTAAACCCTAAATCCGAAGCCCCTGAACCCCTAACCTTATAGGTCCGCCTGCCAAGAATGCCTCGAAACGCCTTCGAGCTTCAGCCACGGCATCAGCCTCCTGGGGCTCGGGGTTTAGGGGTTTAGGGTTTAGGGGTTGGGGGTTTAGGGTTCAAGGTTTAAGGGTTCAGGTGTTTAGGGTTTAGGGCTTTAGGCTTTAGGGGTTTAGGGGTTAGGGGCGTCGCTCTCCTTTTGGGGGTTTTGAGCTGTTTTGGTGGTATACAAGCCTTTAGGGTTTACCGTAGGAATTAAATTTGCGGGTGTAGGGCTCATTCAAGACACTCTCCCTTTGTTTCTGTGGGCTGTGTGTGTGTGCGCTTCTTTGATTGATTGCTTGATCGTTTGCTCGTGCTTCGTTGCTGTTTCGTCTGTGTGTTGGTGTTTCTTCGTTTGCTGCTGTTACAGCTGTGCGTTGAAATGTATGGTTCGTGGTGGTTGCCGTGGCACGAAGCACCTGACGACATACCATCCATGCACTCCAAACCCTAACCCCCTAAACCCCGTAAGCACTACACCCCTAAACTTTTCTTCTGTTTAAGGTCAATAGCACGACCAGGGCTGCTTCTTCCCTGAAATATCTGCTCATCTTTCACCAGCCCACAAGCCTCAACCTCCAACCGAAACCCTTAACTGCTGCCTGGCTTTGGGTTTTTAGGGTTTAAGCTAAAAAAACTCACTCCCAAAGGTAGCACCTGCACAATTATGGTCTGGCATACCACAAAATTTCACTACCCTGCTCTAACCATCAAGGGTAAAACCCTACCATTTTGAAACCCACTCCAGACCCTGAAACCCAGCCTGTGAACCTGGAACCCCGAATCCCAAACCCCAAACTACCCTGAACCCTAAACCCCAAATGCCACCCTGACCGTTTTTCTGCCGGGTTGCCGTGGAATACTTGGCCTGCAGGCTGATCATCGTCTCCTGGAATGGATCTCAAAGATTACTATTACTACGGTTGATGATATAAGCCCTGCATTACCTTAAGGACCCTAAACTATGGGAATAATGGTACATTCCTTATCATGGGTAATGCAGGATTTATATCATCAACCGTATCAGGGTTCTTTCATAGGGGCTCTTGAAGTGCATCAGGATAGGAGTGTTCTAGGGTTACGCCAAAATCACCGAACTCACGTTCTCAAATACTGAATCTACACTGCAATCCATCGCACAAGCGGGTGAAACCCTGCCAGAACTCTACATGTAGGTTCGGGTTAACATTTAAGCTAAAGGTATAACTGGAGTGCGTACAACCAACTATACGTCGCCTCACCAGAGTTACCGACGTTTTACTCAGGTTGTCTGTACAGCTAGATTGATGTAAGGTGTTATTGGGTTGGCAATAAATACCCCGAACCTCCAACTTTCCCTGGCCAACTCCCTCTCAGAGCTCACAACGTAGGAACCTGATTAAGATACCCTGGCTCTATAACCCCATAATATGAGGATCCAAAAGAAGAGCCCCATTAAGACCCAAATTCTTAATCAGGTTACTATATGGGTAGTTGTCAAAATTATGGTCCCTTGTTGGGCACCCTAAATATTAGGTGCCGTATGATACTGGGGATCCAGAAGGGACCATAATTTTGACAACCACCCATATAGTTTATAGATTAACCCTAACCCTAAACCCTAAACTACATTAAATAAGGCCAGGAAGCTCTCATCAGCCCGTCCAGGTGGCCATCAGAAGACTTTTTCTCCCATCCCACCTCAGGCGACTTAGACTAGGGTTTAGGGTTTTAGGATTTAGGGTTTAGGGGTCGCAACCCTACCTGGACCCGCACGATTCTTTTCAAGGACCTATACAACGAACTCAGGAATGGTTTATAGGGTCCAGGTAGGCCCTAAGCCCCCTAAAGCTTTGCACTCTGAACTCCGGCACCCTAAATCCCTCAATCCTAAACACCTAAACCCTCATGCCCGACACTCCTACATGCAAGGACCCTAGATGTACTTCTCCCGCATCTCGCCAGTTGAAGGCATTCAGAGGTTAGAACCTTATACTGGTTCAAGAATTTGGGGTGAATGTTGAGCGTTAGTTCGGGTTGAGGGTTTAGATTCACGGCAGCTACCTAACCCCCCCCCACCAAATACCGACTAAACCACAACTAGGTTGCGTAATTTTTGGGTTCAGGAGCTTTCGGATGTGCTGTAAGGGTTTAGCCTTCATTCAGGCTATCTAGCATTCCTCCTCGTCTACATCCGAAAGCCAGGTACTCTTCAAAACCGATATTGGCGCCTGAACAGTTACGAAAACTCTTCCTCCGGGTTGCCTTGAAAGTAAAACAATACATGTATCATGTAACCCTAAATCCTGTTCTAACTGTTAAAGCCCCCTAATATGGAGATTTCGGAAAATGGGGGACCCTAGAACCCTGAATTCTGAAGATCCTACGTCGGAGCCTAAGAAGGTTCTGCTGCACCGGCTTCTTGCACACGGATTGAAGGGCAGAAGGGTTTAGGGTTTAGTAATTTAGGGTTTAGGGCTTTAGGGCTGCAGGGTTTAGGGCTTTAGGGTTTTAGGACTTTAGGGCTTTAGGACTTTAGGGCTTTAGGGTTTAGGGCTTTAGGGCTTTAGGGTTTAGGGCTTTAGGGCTGTAGGGTTTAGGGCTTTAGGGCCTTAGGGCTTTAGGACTTTAGGGTTTAGGGTTCAGGGTGGTCTAGGGTTTAGGGTTTGAGGGCTGGCGAGGGGTGTCATGAGCCATGGGATTTATCCGCTGCGAGGTTTGGACATTCCCAAAACCCTAAAGCCTAAACCAGTTGATGAAACCAGGCGTTGGCAAAAAGCGTACAGTGCGAAAGGTCTACCCAGAGGCTCCATAGTATTTCCTTTTGGGGGTTAATATATAGGATGCTATAAGGTAATCCCAACAAGGAACTCTCCTACTATTTAGGGTACTCTATTAGGGATTAGGCGTTTGGAGCTTCGGGTTTGAGGGCTCAGAAGCTCTCGGACACTGCGACACTACCCCAAATTTCCTAAACCATAAACCCTAAAAGCCCTGAACTTGAAACCCTAAACCCTAGAATTCCTAAACCATCAACCCTTAAAAAAACCCTGAACCTTAAACCCTAAACCCTAAAATTCCTAAACCATAAACCCTAAAAAACCCTGAACCTTAAACCCTAAACTTTAGACCCCAAGCCTTAACCTCCGGCCTGCTTCGCGGGCTCGGCGATGAGCTTGCCCACGAAGCTCTTGAAAGCCTGGTAGACGGCGTCCTCAGATACGGTTTAGGGTTTAGGGGTTGGTGATATAAATCCTGCATTACCTTAAGGATCCTAAACTATGGGAATAATGTTACATTCCTTATCATGGGTAATGCAGGATTTATATCATCAACCGTAGGGACTAGGGTTTAGGATTCCGGGCTTAAGGGTTAAGGTTGCGGGTTCAGGGCTTAGGGCTCAAGCTTTGGCTCTGTTTTCCTGCTCGGAATGGAAAGCCCTTTTGATGGGAGGCCAAAAGGGGGTTTAAGATTCTTGGGGTAGGGATTCCTTAATATGAACCCGACTATGGGAACCCTAAACCCCACTAAACCCCCATAGGCTAAAACCCTTTTTGGCCTCCTATGACCTTCTTTTCGGGAAGCGGAGTCTAACAAGGTCGGTCTGCGAGAAGCTTGACCGATGTCAGGGGCTTACTATAGGGGCCTTGGTAATTAGGATAGGGTTCCTCAAAGGGTTCCTTAAAGGGGTCTTTCAGGGATCCATGGTGGGGTTCTATAGTATAGGGGCCTTAAGAGTGAAGATAGGGTGTTGGGGCCAGTTCTACTAAATTTATGACAAGGAACCCCCAAAATAGTATTGGTAATTGTCTAGGCCCCTATAGTAGTTTAATGGCATTGTTCAGAATGTGCTCCCACCTCCAGATGCCCGATCTGGCCCACATTGTCAGGGTTGAGGCTGGAACGCAGCAAACAAACCCTAGACCCTAAAGCCTAATACCTGTACATCTACACGCCTCCCGAAAGCCGAACTGCTAGACTTTAGGGTTTAGGGTTGACGTCATTTCTGAAGTGTGATGGGTTGACGGTTTAGGGGTCTAGGGTTTAGGGGTTTGGGGCTTAGGGCTTTAATCCTGCTCTTCTACTTCCCTCCGAAAGGGAAAGGAGTGTTCCAGTTGGAGAAACTGACAAAACCATTCTGAACCCCAACAACTAAAACAATAAAGCACAAAAAACCTTAAAACTCGAAGCCCTCCGCCGTAATACTTAAACCGTAAAACCCCAAACCCTGAAATGCAAGACTCCTAGACCTCTCAAAAGCTTTCGCCCAGACGGTGCGTCAAGGCACTGTGACTCCGGCCATAAGCACGCCGTCGAAGCCGTTCCTAAGCCAGTGACATAGGCTGTAGGTTTATGGGTTTAGACAGTAGTCGATAGTTTATATCAGTTTTGGGTTCAAGGATATGGATCTGCGGTCGCTTAGGGTTCTTTAGCAGGCTTTCTCGGTTGGGGCTTAGGATCCAGAGCAAGGGATGTTGGGTTTTAGGGCAGTCCAGAGCCTTGATCTCTCCACCCCCGCACCTCTCTCTAAGCGAGTTAGCAATCGGATCCCGATGATGATACTTGTAGGTTTTAGTTTTCATCTGGGATCTGCAACAAAACGCAGAGGCTCCAAAGTAGTTCCTTTTGGGGATTACCTTATAGGATTCTATATATGAACCCCGAAAAGGAACTACTATGGAGCCTCTAAGTAAGTTGATGCAGGATTGTGAGTTAACGGTGTGGTCAAAGTCGAGGCTGGGGCTCGGGTTTAAGGCTCGGCTTATGGGAGTTCGGATTAGGGGCACCCTTGGGGATATGGACTCTCAATAAGGCCTCTGTTAAGAGAGCCAGAAGTAGGGTTCAGAAGGGGTACCCTTTTGGGGGTCTCCCTAATAATACTACCTCACCCCTAAACCCTAAACCCTAAACCCTAACTTAGGGTTTCGGTTGTCCAAGCGAGGGTCTGTTGGATTGGACTTTGGCTCTGCAAGGGCTCAAAGGCGCCAAGTCTAAGCAGCCGCATATTGGGTAGTTGTCAAAATTATGGCCCCTTTTTGGGTACCCTAAATAGAAGTGTAGTACTATAATAAGGACCCCAAAAGGACCATAACTTTGACAACCATCCATATTTTTTGGTCCAAACCCTCAGCCACAAAACCCCAAACCCTTTGATCCAGGAAATTAAAAACAGACCTCTCCTAGCTCTCACACAATCGTGAATCCCCTAAACCCCAAACCCTAAAACCCTAAATTCGAAGTCCCTACAGGCCTGTAGCATGGTTTGGGGCCGTGCGTTGAAACAAATGACTACCCTAAGGCCCCGAAGTAGTTCCTTTTCGGGGTTCATATATAGAATCCTTTAGGGTAGCTCCAAAAAGGAACTACTTTGGGGCCCCTGGGTAGTCAGTGACTCTCCTTGTGCGCTCAGGAATTGGGGCTTTGATTTTTGCGCCGGCTAGTGGGCTGTGGGATGGAGTTAAGGTTACGTTCCGCGGTTGAGCCAACTTCCTCATGGGCGGGTAGCGTAACCACGCAGGCCGCCACATTAGTCTAACGCCATGCAGAACGAAAAAATCAACATGACAAAGACCACACTACGTCAGCCGATTGCCAGAAGGTCCATAAATCTACTAGTATGGAACTTGCCCCAACAGACTTTTGTGGTTTAGGGATGTATCTGCATAGTTGCTGCACTGCACGTCTCCACTAGGTTAGAACTAAACGAAAGTATGGTCCTATAGTTACTACCATTGTCATGGCACCCTTCTGAACATGCCCCCAAGCACGCGGGGTCTTTAGCTGGAAAGGTCGGGGGAGCTGTCTTCCCTAAACCTGTACATTGACACTGGAGGCACGTGGAATAAAAACCCCCCGAGCGGGGTTGCAGGAGGCCTGTATAGTGTATGCACTTGCCAAAACCCGCCAAAAGAAGCCCTACTTCATACAAAACTCATACCCTGTCAACGTTCAGCCCTAAACTTAGCATATCCGTGAACCAATCGCAGACCAAGGGGCAGGACCTGCGAAATCGCGTCCCAAACCTGGGTTTAGGGTTCCCTAAACCTAAATCCTGTGAGAAATAGTCTCGGCAGTCTCGTCTTAAGATTCAGGGTTCTGTAAGATAAAGACTCAAAGCTTAAGCCCCAAACCCGAACTAGTTAATCACGGGAGTCTTAGACGGAACACTTCAAGTTCAAGCCCTCATACAAAGCTCATCCTCCGTGCTTTCTTCATTTTACGGTCCGACGCTTTTATGTCCATACTTCCCTGACTTGTCCAGTACTTGTATTCTAGGGCAACTAAAGGTTCACCGTTTAGGACTGGTAAATGGGTACTACAGTGCGCCAAAAGGGGTACTTAAAGGTTACCTACTCTACTGCTCAGTCTATGTGAAGCATGCAACTCCTGAAAGTGAGGTAATATAGGAGCCTTAACGATTCGAACTGGGTTTTGGGGCGCATTATACTATCATAATAAGGAACCCCCAAAACAGTATAAGTAATTACTAAGGCTCCTATAGTAGGTTTTAGGGTTTAGAAAGTCTCGTCAGGTCCCTGCACTGCGCCCGAATCCGTGAATCCCGCACCCTGACAGATCCACGGTAGTGTAGGAACCTGATTAAGGAACCCTGGCTCTTTCTTAGGGTTCCTTCTATGAATCCTAGTATATGCACGGTAATCTAGGAACCTGATTACGCAACCCTGGCTCTTTATTAGGGCTCCTTGTATGAATCCTAGTATTTGGGGGGGGTAGAAGGGCCAGGGATTCTTAATCAGGTTCCTACTTAGAGGATCATGGGACTTAGTAACTAGACTTATAATTAGGGTAACTATACTTATAACCCCAACTAGGGTACTTATAACCTTACTTACTTACTAAGTCCCATGATCCTCCTAGTACAGTGTCTTGAACCTTAGACCGTTTGTCCGAACTGCAAAACCGGGCAGAATCGTAGACACTCTTGTGGATGCCACTTGCAATCCTCTCAGTTTCAGTGTTGAGGGCACAAAGTTTGTGGGTTCTAGATTGGAGCCTCTGCGGCTTACTATAGAGGACTTAATAATTAGAATAGGGTTTTGGGGGCCCACTATACTGTCCTTATGATAAGGAACCCCCATCATCGTATTGGTAATTTACATGGGCCGCGATATTGAACTGTTAAAATTGCTGTATAAAGGCTCGGACATGACGTGTGGAGTCTAAGGCGCTCAGGTCAGGTGTTGTCTCAACTTGGAGGGTCGGGGGACTTAGTAGCTGGTTATTTTAGGGACTCATAACTACCATAACCCCAATTAGGGTCCCTTTTAGGGTACTTATAAGTCTACTTACTACCTACTTACTAAGTCCCCCGACCCTCCAAGAAGTCTACCAAGGCACAATGTAGCTCTTCTCCTGCTTGAAGGATGCGATAAGGCGGAAGACCTTGGCATAGCGCCACTGAAGTTTTACAATTCTGCGCACGAAGTTGGATCATGCCCAGAGGTGCATACATGCTTCCATTATCTTGACCCAAGAGTAGCCTAGGAAGAAAAATTGTGCCATTTGGGGTTTAAAGGGGCTTATAAGGGAACCTGAACCCCCAAAAAAGGGAATAAGGGCCTACTCTAGGTCCGAGTTATGGGGTTAGGTTCCAACAACCAGAAACGGGATGGACAAGTGGGGCCTGACTTCATCGTACAGCCACCTCACAAACTCGACTAGTCAGAATAGGGTTTGGGGTTCCTGTATGGTAAAAATTAATACATATAAACCAAACAATATAACTCTACGAATTATTCACCCTACTTCGTTAGCAGAACCTTCCTCTCAAGGCGGGTTGCCATGCGTTTGGCACGGCGTCAAGCCCTGTTCAGAAACCCTTCGAACACAAGCTAAACATGGACAAAAGACGCAGCTGACACGTGCCCAAATTCTGTGAAATAGACGAATATCTTACGATGCATTGCAACGGGATGACAAGAAGGAATCTCCTACGAAGTACGGCACCTCCAATGCGACATCCTAGGGAAAACTCAACCACACGAACACTGATTCCCAAACCTTGATTCCGATAACCCTGGGCATGGCAACAAGAGACCCCCTAACCCAGCCCTCATGGCCTAAGATGCTGCGCCAAGCCCAGTAGCAGAATCGGCGCCGAGCTTGCCGGCTTTGGCCAGGGCGAAGGAATCTAGGACCTGATAGCCCAGGCTTTAAGGCTCAGGGATCTTAGGGTTGAGGGTCTCTGTAGGTTTTTGCATGTATCTATCTATCTGTCATGTGTGTGTGTACAAACATCTGATCGTCAAGGGGCTCATGGCTTGCTTGATGCTGTCTGCCGTTATCATCTCTTTGCTGTGGTCTGGAACGATATCTTCGCGGGGCAGTGGCCTAGGGAGTTCGCAGATTAGGTCTTTGACGTTTGTACTGCCCCCTAAACCCTAAACCCCTAAACCCTAAACCGTCCAGATGTTTAAAGTAGCTTAACGAACCACCAGGTCGGAAAGGCTTCTAGAAGGATTAGGGTCTACCCATAGACTCCATAGTAGTTCCTTTTCGGTGGTTCATATTTAGAATCCTACAAGGTAATGCCAAAAAGGAACTGTGGAGCCTATAGGTAGGGTAGGGCTAACTTGAAAGGCTGTTGTGAGCGCGTTGGTTGGGCTGCCAGAGTCTCGGGTTTGCGTCTATAGGGTGGTTTAGGGTTTACCCTAAGGCCCCAAAGTAGTTCCTTTTTGGGGGTTCGTATATAGAATCCTATAAGGTAATCCCAAAAAGGAACTACTTTGGGGCCTCTGGGTAGGGTGGTTTAGGGTTTGGGGTTGAAGATGGAGGCCCGTTGGATGCAAGGGATAGGGAGTGGTGAGCTTACGTTTACGGTTAGCCTTCTAGGGTTTACGGGTCTGGGAGTTAACAAGTATAGGGTTTAGGGGGTTTTACATGTCCGACGTCGAGTGATCGCTTTCACTCCGGTTTTTCTCTTACTACGATGTGAGAGGAACATCTTTGCAGATTTTCTAGATAAATCCTACAAACAACGCACAGTTGGAAGATCCTTAAGAGCGCTTGCGGTGTTGCCGCGGGCCGCGAGTGTGGGGAAGCCTCGTAGATGGAAGATCCGATTCTGGAGTAACCGTTCGCTTTCCCAGCTCTCAAGTGTTGGGCGCTCGCTGTAGAGACAAGTTCTAGGATTTGCGCTCACAGGGATTTTGTGGGAGGAGAGAGGGGGAGGGGGTATAGGGCCCAGGGAAGCAGGATAGTCGTTGCTGAATCACCTGTCCCAATTCCAAGGAAAGTAATTAGCCTGCTTCTTCTGGCAGGTTACGTGACTACGTATATATTCAAGAAGACAAATCAGTCTTATATTGTTAGCTACTCAGCGACCGCGTAGGTGTGAGATGTATACAGATGTGGGATTTGCACGTTCTTGGCATGGGGATGAAATCTGTGCGACGGTGTGTGAGAGTCTTTCAGTCCTAAACTTAAGGGTACTACTTAAAGGGTCATGGGACATAATAAGGTAACTAATTAGATTTCTGTATATAGCCACGTATAGCCTTAACTACAGCATACTTATAACATTTCTTACTAAGCCCAATGATCCTCCAAGTAGGATGTGGAAGTTTGTGTTGTTCCGAATGGCCTGAAACTAGGCACTCCCCAAACCCAGCACTACACACCACCCCGGGTTCCCACCGAGGTGTCTCAGGCTCTGACGAGACCTGCACGATCGCTGACTTCCAGCTTTCCGATGGAAGCACCGAGCTTGGCATACATCTCGGGGGTGTACCTTGGGGCATATACTTACTTTTGTCTACACCCTAAGCGTCAGCCCGTAAACCGTGGCTTAGGGGTGCTGACTTCCTGTCTAGGGTTTAGGGCTGTGCCTTTGAGGGGTGAGGAAGCCCGGGCGTAAAGCTTAAGCGATGCACCTTGGAGTGTGGGCGGGTTGGAGCCTTGGATTTAAGATTTCACGGCTGAAAGACTTTGATTATCCATGTGCAGGGACTAGAGGATGCTTTCTTCTGATTTTAGCGGTTAACGAATCAATGGAGACGAGGATTGTATATTTTTTCATTTGGGGTCTTCATTCCCGTATCGCTTTGGGCCGGACTTGTTTAGGATGTTGGGTTTTAGGGAAGTCAGTATGCATCCAACAGGATACCTTGTACATATTCTGTGATACTATAGCGGCTTAAATAATTTCCCATGCTATTTTTTTGGGGGGGGGTCCTTATCATAATTACAGTAGACTGGGCCCCAAACCCTATTCTAATCATTAAGGCTCCCCTACTATTTGCTTAAGAAACCCCCCAAAAATAAAAAAAATAATCCCTATACTACCCCCATAAGGAATATATTTTTTATTTTTTGGGGGTTCTTAAGCAAATACTAGTCCCATATTGCTGTCAGGAACCTTAGGACGCCACCACGCGCCCTAAACCCAAACCACAACGAGATTTCGGAGCCCGGCTGGCTTTGAGCGTTTAGGGTTTAAGGGTGTAGGGGTTTAGGGTTTTAGGGTTTAGGCTTGTAGGGTTTAAGGTTTAGGGTTTTAGGGTTTAGGGTTTTAGGGTTTTAGGGTTTAGGTTTAGGGTTTTAGGGTTTAGGGTTTTAGGGTTTAGGGTTTAGTGTATTCCATGTTCGCCCATGGCTGGCTAAGCGGTTACCCATTAGGAATAAGAGTGAGTCCTGATCAAGGCTCAAGGTGGACTGACATACACCGACTACAACTGGGCCCGAGGCGTTCTAAACAGGGCCTTTGCACGATGGATACAACAACAAGCCTTGGTATGAGCATCGTTGAACAAAAACTCTGCCAAGCAACAGCACCCTCATCGGCACGTCGCGGCCTCTTCGCAGATACCGCTTGTAATGCAGGGGACTCAACTATTCGACTGGCCTTTGCGGCCATCTTAGAGTATTACTGTATAGGGACCAGGGAACCTTGTGAACTTGAGTGTGGAAGCTGCACTCATCCCGCAGCAGAACATGATGATGATTAGGGTTTAGGGTTGTTTTAACCTATGATAGCCGGGTTTAGGGTTTGGGGTTTAGGGTGTATCAGAACATTTGCAAGACCAAACCCGAAACCCTAGACGGGAATCTCTCGGCAAGGGGGCGGTAAGCTGCTAGCTCAATAGGATTCCTCGAGGGGTCCTGGTTTTGGGGCTGTGGGGTTTGGGGATGTGCTCTAGGATGCCCAGTAACCTAGGAATAAAAAGGGCTCCCTTTTTGGTATTGGGTGACTTTATAAGGAACATCCTAGAACCTAGGACTACAAAAAGGGAATAAGGGTACGACTGGTTAGTGTTCTTGGTCGAACGACCTTTTGATGCAAAGTCGTATGTTCCATCGGACGCCGAGACAGATGGAGGCCTGGAACCGCTCAAGAGTCAAGACGCAAGATAAACCCAAAACCCCAAACCCCTAAACCCTAGACCCTAACCCTAAAAAGCCAAGAACACCTTTAGCATGTGAGGGTCCCGAGCTGGGATGCAGGAAATATACGGCCTCAGAATACGGGTTCTCTATATTCCAGGTTGCTTATAGATGTATGTATAGGATAGCCAATATAGAGACCTTGGTCTAATTAGACTAGGTTTTGGGTACAATATGGTATAAGTAGTGGGACTTCAATGGACACTGCTCTTAAACTTCAGTGGTTAGGTGGGGGAGTCCAACTGGGCTTTGAAGTAACCAGGGAGAAAAATGTATAGAACTGTTATTTCATAATGGTTCCTTTAAGGAACAGGCACCAAACAAAGTATTCAAGTATGGTACTCCAAACCCAGGCCAGGATCATGTCAGCGAGCCTTTACCGCTCCGACCTTCATCCCAGCATTCAAGGAGGCTCCTGCTCCCCGAACACAGGCATGTGGGTGGCTGTCAAAATTAGGGTCCCTTTTGGGGCACCCTAAATAATAGGTGCCGTATATAGGGACCCCAAAAGGGACCATTAAATTTTGACGGCCATCCATGTAGACAGACGAACAGACACACGGACACACAAACACACGCCGCGACACACCGTACCCGACACGGAGCCAGCAAACACAGGTGAGGACCTGGACCCCGAAGCCCCGTTCCCTGAAACTTGCAGCATCGCAACAGACCTAGATCCGTAGACGCCGTGGTGAAGCCAAAGCCTTGAATCCTACACCCCAAAACTGCATCAAGCCCATAACAACACTGAACCTCAAACCATAAACATCGAAATACACCTTGAAACGCTCAACCTTTCTACATCCTACAAGAATCGATCGGGCATGTGCCCTCCCTGCCTGCATTGATCACGACATAATCCGCCGCCGGAGTGGCGATCTTCTGGGTCTTTCCCTGGATTCTTGTTAAGGGATTGGACTGAAGTTACCATAATAAAGAACAGGAAACCGTATTTACCATACAGATCCCCATTATGGTAACTTAAACTTAAACTACAATCCTTAAAAAGAACCCAGTTCCCTGTGGTTCAATTTCTGCTCTTCGTCAAAGCGCCCTTTCAGCAACGGTTTACTGCGTCTACGGTTCGACGTTTGAGTTGGAGGGCCGCTATCGATTGTGGGACTTCTGGGATATGCAAAACGGTAGAAGCACCAAAAGCATCCCCTGTATACACCGCCCTAGATTTCCCAAACCCCTTAAACCCTCGTCAACTCCCCAAATATTCTGAGCAAGTATATTTGGGTGGTTGTCAAAATTATGGTGCCTTTTTGGGTACCAATACGGCACCCAACATTTAGGGTACCCAAAACGGGACCATAATTTTGACAACCACTCATTTGACTAGCCGGCCGACCCAGGGGGGCGACCGAGTCGGGAGATGTGTTCAGCATGCCCGAGAAACTTTGGGGAAAATGTGCCCAAGACAGGGGGGGGGGATGTATGGTCTGTAGAGCTTAGGGTATAGGTGTTTGGGCAGGACTTAGGACATCGAACATGAAACATCTCAAAACTGAACCCCTTCGCAAACTAGCAGCCTCCATCAGTGTTGGCTTCGTCTTCTGTCCCCCGTAGCCTTGCATTCGCGCGCCAGCGGATTGGGGGTTTGCCTAAACAATTTCCTATACTATTGTTGTCAATCGCTAAAGATCACAGAGAGAACTCACCTCTCCTCGAACCAGACCGATAGGCCATATCCTAAGGACGACTCGAAATAGTATAACAACAAGCCGAATATCCAAAGATAACCCCATGAAGCCTGAACAGAAGTATTCTCGAATCTCAAGGCCTCAAACCCTGAACAAAAACGGCCCCCAACCAAAGGCGAGCTCTACGTCTAGGGGTTGCAGAACTCATCTTACCACTAAATTCAAACACAAATAACATAGGCGCATTCTGAGGGCTTCTATAAAGGTCCCACATGGGTTTCATAAAGGGTTTTGTCAAGGTTCAACAAAGGATTTTGAGTCTTTTCGCGATTTCATCTCTCCGCCATGAGGATGAAGTTGTTGGACTTCCATGGGAACTTACCCTGTTGAGGAACTCTTGTTGGCGGAAGCTCCCTGCTGGATTTCTAGGACTTGATAGAAGGTTATAGTTTGAGTTATTCGTTGCTAGCTGGGTTCGTAAATACTTTAAACGGGGAGTACCAAGAAACAGCATGCTCGTTTCCTGGCTTTTAACTAATCTACACATCTGAACCCCAAGAGCCTGAAACCCTCGATCCCCGAAGCGGCTTAGGGACCCCGATCCTCCTCATGCCCAACCGAGGTGCTGAGGATCAGAGGAATCTTCCAAACCTTCTCTTCCTCAGGCTTCACCTGATGGTTATATAGGGGTTTCCGAAAATGAAGGACCCTAATATAGCACCCTGAAAGAGGACCCCATAGTAAGGCACCCCTCATTTTCGGAAACTCCCATATGGTTATAAGGGGTGATTATATAAATCCTGCATGACCCATAATAAGGAATATACCATAATTCCCATAGTTTAGGGTCCTGAAGGTAATGCAGGATTTATATCATCCACCGTACAGCTCAGAGGCCGGAGGCCCCTCCGCTTGTAGTGGGATCCGAGAATTCAAGCATCAAAACTCCTTGAGGTCAGTGGGGTTTGTCCTTGACGGAGTGAAAACACCTTAAACCCACCAGAACCGCAACAAGAACGCACGAAAGCCTTCCAAACCTTAACAAAACCTTTATACAGCCTGCAGCTCCTGTTGAAGCCATGTGAACCTTTCTAAACCCGATAAGAACCCGTACACAGCCCTTATATCCTAAACCCCGAACCCAGCCCCAAGCCTTAGACCCCTTACAACAGGAAAACCACAAAAAAAGAGTTATCTTTTCAAATTTGGGGGGTTCCTCATTTAGATTATAGAAAACTATAACCCCAAACCCTATTCTAACTAATAAGGCTCCTATACACCAAGTAGCTTCAGAGCCATCCGCCAAGAACCAAGTCCTCATCGCTTTTTTGCAGCAGGGATGCAAGGGCAAATCTTTTCTTAAACTATGGCCAGGGTTCAAGGGGTTAGTTTTTAAGGTTGCATTTTGGTGTAGCTACAGGCTATAGGTAGGTTTAGGCTTCAGGGCTTCCGAAACAGTCAACAAACAGGTGATGCACGGCCCGAGACTGCCCCCGAACCCCAAAAGCCCTAAACCCTAAACCCTAAGCCCAGAGCCCTAAGCCCTAAACCCTAAAACACCTAAGCCCTAAGCCCTAAACCCCAAACCGACTTGGGTCCCCAGAGCCCTGAACCAGAATCCCCAAAACACCAAAAGCTCCGAAATCTCCGGCCCGAAAGCCCTAAATCCCCAGAGGCCCCAAAAAGGATCCAAAAAGTAGATCCCTTAAGGGGGTCAGGATTTAGGCTTTTTTGTTTTTAGGGTTTAGGGTTTAGGGTCTCGACAGGGCACTCCGATCTTCATGGCTCCTGAATTTCCCTTTAGTAGCCAGGGCCCCAAATTAGGGGATCTAGTTTGTAGATCCTCCTGCAGGTCTGGGTAAAGGCACTAAAGCTCAAGGCCTTTGTAGATCCCATCCATCTATCTATTAACCTGGCTTATACATCAGATGTAGGCATACTTTTTATTTACATATTTACAGTTTAACAGTTTATAAGTCAAGTAGTAACTAGCAAGACATAGCAAGACCAAGTTTTGACCCAAGGACCGCCGTGCCAATGTCCTGCAACATAAACCCCGACTCCCGGGAGGATCTAAAAAGTAGATCCCCGAATTTGGGACCCTGGCTACTAAAAGGGAACTGTATAGGAACACCCTTAAGGGATGGATCCTCCCGGAGGTCTGGGAAGCCTTCAGCCCAGGCCCCTCCCTGCCCCTGAAAACTGACCAAAACCCTGAAGCGAACATAGGGTTTAGGGGTTTAGGGTTTAGGGTTTTAAACCCCCAACCCTAACTCATCGTATTCAGCTGGGATGCTGCTCCAGTTCCATTTCAGAGCCTGTAAAGCTCTTCACGGTGACGAGGGGGAAGCCTTGCTGGCATGGAGCTTTCGTTTATGCATAGCCCGGGGTGCAGAATGCAAAGGGGCCCTTGTCTTCTGAAACTCCCAGATGTCTGAGGCTCTGAAGGGTTTATGGTCAAAGGCATGTAGATACCCGAAGCGAGCGATCGACAGAGAGCGAGAGGGTGCCCATAGTTGAAGTGGCGCATTTCAAGAAGCCATGCAGTTTCCTTGGCGAACTATGTGGCAAGCTACACAGTATAAACTTGATAAGCGGCTCTTGCGTAAGAAGCTAATGCAGTTTCATGGTTGATGGTAGATGGGGATCAGGGGCTAAGCAACTCTGCCTCTCTCTCTTTCTCTCTCCTTTTCAGTCTCTCTTCTTCAAAGAATAAAAAAAACGCCAAATCGCCCAAAGTTGGATGAACACCCCTGTGAGTCATCGAGCTCCCACAGAGGAGCAAGGACGCCGCAGACATGTTGAGAAAGCGATACAGGACGGTGCACATTGCCTTATTCAGTCAGGTAACTCCCTAAACCCAGATCGATCTGGGAAGCGAGTGCCATGCTATGATCTGTTGTGCCGATACGATACTGAGGTGTCAACCCTGTTTAGCTCATCCATCATCCGAGATCGGTGGTCTCTGACTCTGGCCCTAAACCCTTCCCACACCCTCGAACCAGAAAGCTCAAAACCCGAAACCCGATGCCAAAATCTAAAGCCGTAAATCTGAAAATACTAGACCATTAAAGAAATGGAGCCCCCGATTCCTTATACGGAAAGCGTTGAGATCATGAGTCCTGAAGCCCAAAGCCTACCCTGCCGATGGCACGAACCCTAAAGCTCTTAACACCCGAAAGCCACCTTCCCCCCCCGTTCAAAAACATTTACAACAGAGCCCAAACACTACTCAAAGCAGAAACCCTGAAACCTAAAGATCTATACGGATCAAAGCCCCTCCCATGACAAGCCGCCCATTTGCTCCGTCCATGAGGCCATGAGCCTCGGCTGAAAACAACGCCCGAGATTGAGGCGCAATGTGGAGGCCTGTATAACTAGAAGAGGGTTCGGGGGGATTGCAGTATACTATAACTGCTAAGGGCCTAGAAGGGCATACTGCTAGTACCTAACATTTCCCAAGAGGAAGCCATGAACCCCAACGCCAGGCTCGCGAGCCCAAGAAACCTGCCTACAAAGCACTGAAACTCGAATGCCTTCACACCTCAAAGTCTGGTGAGCCCCCAACCAAACCCTACAGACATCCGGCAAAATTGCAGGAACTCCGTGTAGATATTTTGTGTGTATATATATATATATATACACATACATACATACATACATACATACATACATATATACATACATATTATCTGTATATGTGCAAACGTCTGTTCAATAGCACAACACAGAACACACCAGCCCTAAACCCTCACCCAAAACCTAAACCCTGAATCCCGAGCTTGCAAGCCAAGTTCTCAGCTCAGAAATAGTGGAACCATCTTGAAGTTGTTATCGGAATCTGAATCTGTTTAACTGTTATAGTAGAACCCCTTACTCAGAACATCTCAGAACCCTTGAATTGAATTTGTGGAAACCAAGGAAGGAACCCTTACCGGATACCCTTCTAGAAACGCCCCGAAACCCTAAACCTGAAACGCGAAACCCGTGTAGTGAACGCCCTAAGCCGCCGGGAAGCGAGTTAACTGGCTGGCCGCTGGCCTCACTCCAGGCCTCGATCTATTGTCTATAAGCTTCATAAAGAAGTCGCTTAAGTATGAGAGTTTTGTTGTGGCTTGGGAGGGGTTTAGGGTCTAGGGATGTAAGGTTTAGGGGTCCAGAATTTAGGGTTTCGGGTTAAGGGTTTCGGGTTAAGGAACCCTAAAGAATTTGCTTTCTGAGGGCTCCTTGTTATGATTTCCTTGTATACGAACAGGAAGGTTCTTTAGGGTCTAAGGAGGGTTTAGGGTTGGGTTTGGGCTTCTAGGGGTTAGGGTTCTGGATTTCGGGTGTAGGTACATGGACGGCCTAGCGGTTTGCTGCTTGGTTGTAAAACTCCAAGGGGAAAAGGAGGGACCCTTAATGGGGACCCCTAGGCAGATACCCTTAATATAGCTATTATATACCCAATATATAGCCCATTATAGGGTAGGGGTCCCCATTAAGGGTCCCTCCTTTTCCCCTTTGATAAACGGAAAGCACATATAACAGATCTGTATTCGCCTAACAAGGGGAAACCCTAATCACCTACAGTGCAGGCCAGAAAATGACCAAAGTTCCTCATGCTCTGTTTCACTGTGAATAAGCTGCGGGAAACCCAGAACTGACGTAGGGGCCTTAATAGGTAGACAGGGTTTTGGTGCACATTATGCAAGGAAAAGACACTCTTCTGCTTACGAAAGCCCCTATGATAGTTATCCTTAATTATCCCATGCTCTAATCTTCCGGGCCTCACTAAATGCATTGCAATGCCAGGCCGGAAAGCTCACGCCAAATTCATGAGGGGGCCTTCGCTATCCAACACTGAGTAAACCTCGCAACCTGCGGGTACCCTAAACCCTACACCCTAAACCCTGCACCGTAAAACATAATTAAACCCCAAATCCTACACCCCACTACCCTACACCCTGAGGGCGTCTTGGGACTTGGGATCCTTTTCTGTATTTCTCGCCTTTCAGTTAAAGACGAGACGCTCCTTGCTTAAGAGCCTCTAGCTTCTTCGATGCGCTAAGACGAGGGCTGCCCAAAGGTCGTTGGTCTCGGTGTTGCTGTACCTTTTGGGACCAAGCATTTGTGTTGGCTTGGGCCTGGCTTCAGAGTTAACTCCCAAGCGCAGTGCGTAGCCTCAGATACTGGTTTCGGCGTGTTGACTGTTCTCACCTAGCAAAGAATCAGGCTACTGCTTGGGCCGGGATTCGGACTAGGGTTGAATTAGGGCGTTGGTGTGGGGCTGAGTAGACCGCTTGACGCAGAATAGGGTTCCAGGAGGAATCTTGCACTGAAAGCTATTGCGCATTCCTAAACCCTGAACCACGAACGTTCGGAACCCCAGGCAATCAAGTCTTCCTCCCATTTTGCCTTCCAGGCACCGATGACCTGAAGCACCTTTATCCAAAACCTCAGACACACACAATACAAAGTCATTACCCATATACTATAGCCCCAGAGACTCCGCTGTAGTTCCCTTTTGCGGTTATATTTAGGATCCTAAAAGGAACAATGGAGCCTATAACAGGTAGCGCCTTCCTGATCCCAACATACAAAGTCATCTGTCATCCGGGGGAGACCAAAGGCTCATGGCTTATGGGATTGTCTGCGCACGAAGAATCGGAGAATGAAGTGCTACTCATGGCATTTCGTGGGGGTGGAAGGGGAAGGGGGGCTCTATATGCTCTCGGGTCCCGGCACATACGCTTCAGGTTTGCGTTGTCTTCTTAAAGTCTACAGAGGTGGGCAAGACCTTTGATTCAAAAATAACTATCCTGCAATAAGGAGTAACGTCGGAGCCTTAATCCTAAGAGCTCTAGTGCAAAGGATATCCATGGTTTACACAACATGCCTCCAACGCCGCAATCTGAACAACCAGACCCTCAAACCTTAATCATTAACCATGCGTGGTCGTTGTCTCATTGGTCTTACATTTCGCGCCTACGAGAAGAGCACCAAGCATCCATCTACCACTCTAGAATTAAAGCGCGTCACAGGATCAGGGACCAAGGACTCTACGGGATTTTCGGACTATGCTTTAGGGGGGTGGTGCAGAATTTGGGGCGGTTTTACTGTTACTACTTACTCAGCCCTCTAAAAAACCCTAAACCCTCACCCCTAAGCCCTAACCCTAAACCCTAACCCTATACCCTAACCCTAAACCCCTAAACCCTAACCCTAAACCCTAAACCGTCGAATCTTCAAGGGCACTTGTGCTTCTGCATGTACTTCTGCAGTCCCTTCCTCAGAGTGAAGCTTGAAGAGCCCCAGTGGCTTTGCGAGGGCTCGGGGCTTTCCTGACTCTGGGGTTGAGAGGGGTTTTGGGGGGTTTTACGGCTTTTTAGGGTTTTAGGGATTTCGGTTTTTGTTTGGGGGGTTTAGGGCTTAAGGTTGAGGGTTCTTCAGGGTTTTTCACAACCCTAAAAACTTCCTATAAACTCTAAAGTGATCTAGAAACCTCAAAACCCTGAACCCTCAAATGTCGGCGAGTCGTTCGCCGGACGGGATCGACTGCACGAGTTTTGGGCTCTTGGCGCTTCGGGCTTGGATAATTTGTTGAGGTTCCCCAATAACACCTTAATGATCAGTGCGCCCAAAATAAGAATGGCAAAATAATGATTTGGGTTGGTCTGTTGTGCTCGAAGGCTTGGATTGAATGTGCTGTTGAATTGCTATGTTGACTTGGGTTTTGTGCTGGAGCTTTTAGGCTATGCCTTTTGTGGCTTGGGGGGTGTCAAACATGCTGCGTTCAGAGTATGGGGTCTAGGGTGCTGAGGGGTCAAGATTTGTGTGTGTGAAGGCTGTGGACTCAGGGTTCTTGTGATGTCACTCCGTGACGACCTCAGGACCTCCACTCTTGCAGGCGGCCGGCTACTGAATCTTGAGCTTGGGTTTCCCTTTCTGGGTGGAGCCCTGATATTGAGGACGATGTGGGTGATTATCAAAATTAGGGTGCTGTTTGGGTCCTTATTATAGTACGGCACCTATTTTTTAAGGTACCCAGAAAGGGACCCTAATTTTGACAACCACCCATGTATGAAATCCTTACGGGAGCCTCTAAACGACTTATACCTAGGGGGACTTCAACCCCTGAGTCATACATGGAGCCTGAAGACTCAAGACCAACCTGATGCGCAAAATTCCTAAAAACACCACAAAGCCCTGCTAAACCCTTTAGATTATAACCCTTCCCAAACTCCTATAAGCCTTTCAGAACGCCCATCATTAGAACCGAGAGTCTGGAATGCCTCGGCCCCCAGGTATGCATGCGCCATCTTGATCACAGAGGCGCCTTGCAAAAGGCAAAATGGTCTCAAAAGGCCATCCCTCTTGGGGTTTAGGGTTTAAGTTTGAGGATTGCATTCTGGGATTCTTAAAGGACGGGGGTGTTGAAGGGAGGGTACAGAACCTCCCTAATACTGCCGAAGTCCTGGGACTCACAAAGGATCCCTAGTAGCCCCCACCCCTTTGAACACACCAGCCTCATAAGGATACAGAAGAGGCTGTGGGGCCACTACCCACGGCAACCTGCCCTCTAAGGATAAGGATTTTAGAAGATATTGGCCATGGGCACCAAAACTCCACAACCCATGGTTGTGTACATGGAGCGCCTGGCAGCTACCCGACTTGTCGCTGCAACTCTGAACACAGGCGTGATTCACGCATGAAGCTTGTGACCGATCCATCAGCATAAGTCAGGTCCCAAATAAGACGATCTTAGGGTCTGGATGCAGTGCTTTGGGAACCCACAAGCGCAAATGGCACGACTAAGTAAACATCAAACTCGACCACAACGCCTGACGGGGAGCATTCAAGACTGGGTCGAAATGACCCTTATTCTGGATAGCCATCATCCCAAACCTGTTGTTATGGTCTCCTATTGGCCCCATCGCAACTGGCACGGCAATATGCAGCAAGCAATGTAACAGGAACCCATCTGAGCAATAGTACACACGTAAAGCCCATGATATACTTTCAAAACACAACGATTCTTCTTAGTAAGGTCCCTGTTACCACTGAAACCGGTGTCCCAATCATGAAAGGTCTAGCTTCTACTGTATATACTCAGAAGTCTTGTACGTTCCAAGGTGGCTGCCTTTGCAGTAGGAGATCGCATCGAAGACTTCCTCGACCTCGAAGACAGGCAAGCCACTTAGGTAGGGTTCGAGAGTTCAGAGTTTGTCGTTGCCTTTGGTTTGCATTGAGGGCTGTGGGTTAGAGACTAGGGTTCATTGGTTGGCTTCAAGCTCTTGGGGGTTGAGATTTCATTCCAGGTATATGGGTGGTTGTCAAAATGAGGGCTGTGGGTTAGAGACTAGGGTTCATTGGTTGGCTTCAAGCTCTTGGGGGTTAAGATTTCATTCCCGGTATATGGGTGGTTGTCAAAATTATGGCCCCGTTTTAAACCTAGGACCTAGAACCGCGGCCCCTAAATCCTAACCCTACACCCTAAACCCCTTGATCCTAAACCCTGGCTATAGATTGTAGAAAGCTTGAAATTGGAACTACCCAAGCAAGTAGAGGATCAAGGGACTTTGTAGTGGGGTTTAAAAGCATATAAGGCATTTATGATTACATACCGTAGAACCCAACTAAAGTCCTTATGACCCTACTTGCCGAATAACGTGACCCTACTTTCCGAATAACGTGACCGCCCAAGTGGGATCCGCTGCAGAAGGGAGCTCAGGACTCTGCAAAAACCGCCATAACGACACCTTTCTTCAAACTGTAAACCCTACAGGATCCATATCTTGAACCCTCACGAAACACCTTCCTTTGAACTGAAACCCCTACAAGATCCATATATCTTTTATCAACATTTGTAACACAGGGGAAGGCCGCTAACTGTGACACCCGAGTCTGAGCCTCTTCGGCGTGGTGGATGGGCACCTGCTCTGGCTTACATGGTATACGGCACGCAGTTCTACTCAGAATTACCTGCCTGCCTGCCTCTCTTGTATGTATGTACGTATGTATGTATGTATATATATATATATACATATGTACCTATCTAGCTGTATGTTCATGTCCATATGGGTATAGTACGGTTTAGAGTTGTGCGTAATTCTTCAAGATGGTCTCCTTGATTGCACAGGGCTTCGTGCTGGACAGGGTCTTGCAATTCAAGGGTCTTCTGTTACAGCGTCTTCTTGTTAAAGTGATATGTAGTCATATAACGTGAAGAAACGTAAACATCATATGTAAATGGAAATGTATGCCAAAAGCACCCTGCCTGGATGGGATGGGAGCTTCTCAAGCTGTCAAGTCGCATGGCCTCAGCAAGGGGCACATGATGGGGTGCTGTCTTGGGTGGACTTCTAAGATGGGTTCAGTGTTCTATAAGGGCTTGCTTTTTGATTAGATTTTGGGAAGGTTTGACAGGTCCTTCCTAAACCCTAAACCCTTTTTCTCGTTTGCGTCCTTTTCTTACATCCTGGAAAAGGAAGGTATACCTCTATGGAACAGGTTCATGCAGGTCTGTCAAGAAAGGACAACAAACGAAACGTCACGACGTCCATCCCTCTCCCCCCTGCCCAACATCACCGAAGTCCGAGAAGCGGAAGCCTAAAGCCGAAATCCGCCGAAACCCCAGTCCCAAAGCAGAGCGTCCTACGTATCATTATCAGCCTCATCGTCGTCATGGTTATCATCCGCATCACATCACATCATAGCAAATATGCCCATACCCGAAGGGGACGTCATCATCCCCCACCCCCCACCCCCTCCCCACCAAGACCACATACAGATGTTCCACCGGAGAGTGCACAACCAACCATAGAACCCCAAACCGATGAGAAGTCCCGACCCAGCGCCTCCCCGAAAGGCGCCAAAGCCTATAGAAATTGCAAATCCAAACCGCTAAACCTACGAAGTCGGAGGCCTCTCTGGAGAACATCATACTACAAACAACGGACCAGAAACACCCTCCAGTCTATACTGAACTTAGAACCCTAGCACAAATTGTAATTTTAGCTGTTTCTTGAGGATTATAATAACCAAAAATTACAGATTATTTCTAAGTACCCCTAAGCAGTTTTTAAGTTCTAGGAGGTCTCTGGTCCTGGGCTTCAGGGTTGCTGAAAGCTTTCGGTTTTGGCCTGAACCGAAAGCCACGAAATTCTCAAAGGCAGACGGCAAAACCTCGATCTACCCTAAGCTTCCTAAACCCCATGAGCAACCTCCTTAAACCCGAAGCTAAAAACCCTAAACCCTAAACTCTAAACCCTAAACTTAAAGCCCTAAGGCCCTAAACTGGAAACTCTAAACCCTAAACTCTAAACCCTAAGCCGAAAGCCGAAAGCTCTTCACTGCTGTAGGGCCCCGGCTGCAGCCTGCGTGTCGGAGGTGAACTGATCCCACCTTTCTTGTGGTAGGGGTTTACGGAGGTTTAGGGTTTAGGGTTTAAGGCATTCTTGTTTTTTTTGGGGGGTGTTGAGGGTTTGGGATCTAGTTTCCTGTCTTCATGCATGTACATGAATGAATACGACAAGGGGGATGTATTCTTACTCCAGCGCTGCATCCCTTGCCCTGTTTGAATAAGCCCTAGACGAACTCCATAGACCTAAATGGCCCTCCAGGGCACATTGCGAAATCAGGGAAGATCTGGTCAGCCATGTAGTTCTCACCTCGGCGCTTGGGTTGAGGGTTTCGGGCTTTCGGGCTGTTGCGTTTGAGACTTTGGTGTTTCATGGTTTAGGGCTCTGGCACTTTCTTTCGGGTTTGGGCTGTATAACTGTATAATGGCCTTTGTAGGGCTTCAGGGCTGGGCGTTTTTGGGGCTCGCTGGTCAGCTCAGGTTTGGCTTACAGGAAGGGCGCGGTCCCCAGGTTCGCGGTCAAATGAATCCAAAACTACAGCACACTGCGCTTGACAAAGAAACCCTCGGGCCTCCCCCTGAACCATTGTTCCTTTAAAGGGGTCCTTTAAAAAGGCTACTATAAGGGATCTATAAGGGTACCAGAATATACTAGGATACCCAGTAACCTAGGAATAGAAAGGCCTCTCTTTTTGGTATTGGGTAACTTTATAAGGAACCTAGGACTACAAAAAGGGAATAAGGGTACTACTGGGCATCCTAGATTGTGCCGTTTCGAAGGCAGTCAAACACGATAAGCCCTAAACACTTATACCCCGAAAGCCGGGTCTTCTTTAGCAGTCGTCGTCTTTGTTCTTGACGTCGCATACCGAACCTTTGTGTTCAAAGAGCACCCCTCCAGTAACGACTGCCAGTCAACGTCGCCGATGAAGGAGCTAATACATGGGCCTTAACAATTAGCATAGGGTTCCTCATAAATAAAGGGCTCCTTAAAGGGGTCTATAAGGGACCAATAGTAGGGTTCTTTGATATATGGGGCTTAACAATTGGAATAGGTTTTTGCAGCGCATTGCACTATAACTACAATAATAAGGAACCCCAGGATAGACACAACATCACAAAGCCCCAACTCCCTCCCCGACCTCCCCTGCAACCTGAAGTGGTTTCGGGCCTTTCTCTATGACTCTATGGGTAAGGCTGAGGTTCAAGATAAACAGAATAACTACTCTGACTCTAAGTTACTATAGCGGCCATAACCCCTAAACCCCTAAAGCTGAATCCTAAATCCTAAACCCTATACCCCAAACCCTACACTCTAAACCCCAATAAACCTAAGCCCTAAACTCTAAACCCCAAGATGCAAACCCTAAGCCCCTAAACTTTAAACACTAATAAACCCCAAGCCCTATATATTCCGTCGGCTTCAGCAGTCCCCAAATTTAATTATTACTATTACTATTATTGTTATTAAGGGATCTACTTTTGGATCCTCCGCGGAAACCCTGGGAGCTCTCTGCAACCCAGAGAGCTCCAGGAGGCGAAGCCCTCGTTGAGCCAAAGGTCGTCCCACCACATCCTTAAGGCTTTTGCTCAGGGCTTAGCTTTTTCGGGTTTCATTTAGGGTTCAGAGTTTAGGGTTTTAGGGTTTAGGGTGTCATTTAGGTTTAGAGTTTAGGGGTTTAGGGTTTAGAATTTAGAATTTGGGGGCTATGGGGTTTAGAGTTCTGGGGTTTAGAGGCTAGGGATTCCCGAGGAGTTCGCAATTTGGGGGGGCTTTTGAGAGTTTAGGGGTCTGTGGTTGAGGATTTGGGATTTGGGGCGTGTAACTTGCAGGCTGAAGGTTTGGGGTTTCACGATTCAAAGGGGAAAAGGAGGGACCTTAATGGGGACCCCTACCCTATAATGGGCTATCTAATGGGTATATAATAGGTATTTTAAGGGTATATACCTAGGGGTCCTAATTAAGGGTCCCTCCTTTTACCCTTGGAACGATGGTTGAGGGACACTCCCAAGGCTGTCGAGGAGTCTTCGATCCGATTTGGAGTCGCAGGATTGTGGGTTTAGGGCCGGGGTTTGGGGCTTAGAGCCTAAACCCTGAACCCTAAACCTGTACCAGCGATTCATAGTCAGGAGCCGTGACAAGGTAGGCTTTATAGTTGAAGGTTTTAGCAGCTCGCAGGGCTCGGAGGTCAAGGCTTGAGGGTTCCATAGAAGGTTTCAGGCTCATCGGGTGTAGGGTCTAGATGGGTTTAGGGGGCTTGAGAGTGTAGAGTAGGCTTAGGACTCAGAATGTTTAGGTTTCTATAATGGTTTCAACAGGTTCTACAAAGGTTTGTAACTGTATGGCAGTATGGGCTTCTATACTGCTTTCATCGAAACTTCCATATCCATATGGGTTCTACAATGCGCTTTGCAAGATTTCTGTCAGGGTGTCTATAGGTTATAAGTTATAAGGGTTCGGTACTTACCTTTCTTGCCATGTAGGGGCCACCCATTTAAATAGGAGAATGGCTTCTAAATTCTCTTCGGGACCGAAAATTGCCGTTGAAACGCCCTTCAGTGAAGGGCTGGGCGCAGGGGACGTCGTTGGGCTTAGGGTATGGAGTGTAGGGTGAGAGGGTTTGGGGTGTGGGTTTACGGCTTGTGGTTTTGGGATGCAACTCAGGGATTACGTATAGAGGGCCCTTGCCCACCTGGGAACGCAGACTAAGCTATCAGAAATACGAAAGCATATTCTGCACTAGATTCCCGTCAAGCATGGTAACTGGTATCTGTCTCCGGAAGCAGCCAGCCTGCGACGTTCAAGGGTGAGTGGAAGCCACAAAGTTGAGACATGGGAAAATGGTTCATGATGGCTCATGCAAGACTTCCCGGCCTCTTCAGGATGCAAAGGGCTGCAAGCTTTGAGATCCAAACACAAAAAGCTCACCATCTGTACATGAGGCCTCCCAAGCCCCAAAACCCAACTCCCACCCACCCAGTAACCCTAAACCCTAGACCCTAAACCCTAAACCCTAAACCACCCAATGCCCTGAGCCCAGTGTCATGGTAACCAGATTCCCGAACCACTGGTGCGCCAGCTCCTCAGGTGACTTTGAAACTGGAGGGTGTTGGCGCATGCAAGGCATGGGAATTTTGCCTGGACCCCAAAAGTATGCAGAAAGATGGCCCTGTATAGGTTTGGGGCCATTATTTGGCCTACTTTGGGGGTGTAGGTAAAGGTCACGGCTTACGTCTCTACGGTGATTTGTGATCCGGTTAGAGGGATCTAAGGCTTTGTGGATTGGGGCTTGCGAGGCTTAGAAGGCTTATTGCTCGAGGGTGTAGCACTCCAAGAATTTGGGACCCCCTAAACCCTAAACCCCTAAAGCCCTAGGACTGACACACGCCTTTTTCAGAGGGCTACCTGCTGCCGCTTCTATTCAAACTGTACCTGCGCTGAAGACCGTCTTGGTAGGCTTTTAGGATCGACGGTTAAGGGCTTAGGGTTTAGGGTTCAGGGCTCAGGGGTTTTGAGTTCAGGGTTTAAGGTTCAAGAGTTCGTGCGGTTGAGGATTGGATCTAGCAGCTTTCAGAGGTTTGAGCGTACGGCGAGTTCTCGCTACTAGCATGGCATTCTCGCTTGACCGCAGCAATGCAACAGCAACCGTGCTTGTAATCGTAAGTCGCACTTCGTGACTTAGTAGGTAGTACCTTCACTAGGGAATAAGTCTAAGCAGTGACTTGTAATGACTAAACAGCTGAAGACAGTGAGTAACTACTTCGTTGTAGCAGTAGCAGCAGCAATCGTAATGAAAGATTACCAGCTGGTAAGGCAGCTAGACCTAGTGATTGGAAAATATCTGTAATTAGTGGTAGTTAGTAATTGTCAATAGCAACAGGTACAGCAATAGCAATAGCAACAGCAATGGTAAAATAGAATTAAAACAATGTGCATATTCACTAGCAGCAGGCAC